GAAAGTTATTCCAGGTTAATTCTCTGGAAAACCAAACTTCACTCGCGCACATTCATAATTCCAAAAATGCATCATTGCGCCTATTTGATTTCTCACTTTTATGGCTGTTAAAGCAGGTATACAAAAAAATGGTTATGCTGCATAAAAAATGTACTGCGTAATTTATTAGTATAGGGAAATTTGCTTCCAAACAAACAAAAATATTCAAAACAAAACTCATCATCCTTTCGCTGTACAACTATTTAACTTTACGCATTGGCTGTGCAACTATTCTCGCTCTGCTCTCGCAATGATTTTCATTCTTCTGCTTGAAGTTCGTTTTTTCCTCGCCTCCTTCAGGCCAAGCCCGTGTATTGTGTGCTTTATTTTAGAAATAATCAAATGGCCGTTTGAAACATCTTTCACACGCAGTAATTTCTTCCTCTTTATATCCATAATGTAATGTTCTGTGCAGACAGAAATATGTTTTTAGCGATAGGGATAGTTATTGTTTTGTTGAAACGCTGTTGATACTTTCAATAGATAACTAATAAACTGGGGATTGTCATAAAATAATTCTCGTTTTTTGCTTTTACAAATTTATTTTTAAACAATTTATTTGCTGTGTCTCTGAATTATGCCAAAAATGTAGAATTTCCTAAGGAGAAATTTCACATCGTGAGCTGTTTTAAGGAGAAAGAGTAAGGAAAACTTCTCTTATCATATAGTATTCAACTAATTTTATGAATTCAGAAAAAGGAAAGTCATTTTGATTTTTATTACTGTTTAAATAATATTTAAACAAAAAAAATCGTTGTGCATTGGATCACAATGAAAATACGTTAGTAGAAAAGAAGAATGAATGTTTCAATTGAAAATTTAAAACCAAATGTGCTGTTTCACTTTACTTCCTCAATAATTCATTCAATTTCTCTGCAATCATCTCCAATGTCATTTCCATTTTGGTCATTCGTTTGTTGAACTTTTCCCTTTCATCTTCGTCGTGTTTTTCTTTTGCATTCTTCTCCAACACTTGAAAGGCAAGTTCAACTATTTTAGGATCCATACGAGTGCATCGATTAGAACATGTTAAGTGATTAATACATAAAGGTCTAAAGTTATCATCAGTTTCATTAATTCCTCCATGACTACTTAAGTCGTGAATAGAAATTTGGTTATTATCATTTGGTTTGATCCGAATGTGATAAACCGGCTTTGACTCTTCAAATGTGCCGATGCCTTCACAAAATGGGAATATTTTGAAGAGTGTTGGATAACTGCCAGGAAAAATGAAATAGAATCATTGTATTACTAAACTGAATGATGAAAAATATTTTTCTTGAAAATATTCGAAAATCATTCTTAAAAAAGAATTTTCTTGCCTGGTAGCCAGTACTCTTTCATAGCGAGCCAAAACTTGTGCACGTCTTATAAAATTCGTTAATTCAGCCTCCGATTTAATTGTCTGTATATCGCTCACGGCTAAGCCATTCAGCAAATTGAAAAGGACAATTGTAACAGTGAATACAAATAACACGAAAACGACATAGCTAAAGTTATTTCGATTGAAATTGATACTGTCTGCGTCGAATTCACCCGTGGACATCACCAACGTCTTCATAATTGATAGCTTAATATTTGGGAATGTATTGAAATCTCCATCAGCTTTGTCATCATTCGTTTCTCCTTTCGTACTCTCTTCCAAAGGCTCATGTAACAATGTGAAGAACGAGAGAGAAAATGCCAACAGAATGATGGCATATAGTGAGAAACTCTTCAAAAAACTCCAAGTAACTGTTCTCAGCATGACATAATGAGTGTAAAAAGACCAGAATGGCAGCGACCCAGCCAAAAGGAAGATCTCAATCGCAATCAGCAAAATGGATGCAGCTGCAAAAGTACGACGCCAAGTGTACGGACAAACATCAAACGAAATCAGCATGACCAGTACAACCAAGGTGCACTCCAAATAACTGTCTAAACTCTTCAAGTGGATGCACGGGGATAATGTGAATTGATACACTTCTCGGGCAGCGATATAAAAGGTTAACACAAACATAAACAAACGCATCATGGAATTTTGTTCATGACAGTTGTAATACAATAAAAGGTATAAAACCGTGATCGTAGCAAACAATATACAGAGGAAAAAATTGATGTAAAAGAACGGTGCCAGACGATTCCATTTCAAGGACAGGTAACTGGCTATAAGCGGATGCATTGTCAAATGCTTGAGTTCATTCGATTTCGAAATGAATCCAATCGTACTCATTATATCCTCAATGTTTAGTGTTTTTGAAGTGTGCGGTGCGACTAAATTTTTAAAGTTGAATTCAATTGCAAAATTATCTTTACTCGTTCGAAATCCATTGGTTGTGATGCAACTGTCGAAATGGTTCTCAAGTAGATTTGCACCAATATAAGAGATCGACAATTCTTTCAATTCATTTCTCTCTCCAATATAGGCTCCTCGTTTCAATAGCTCAAGTATTGGTTTCGAATTATTGGACATAGCAGCGAGATCAAGAACGTTCCCACCGTGTAGATTAACATCAATATTTGGATGATTCATTGGTATTTCAAAACATTTTTCATAATCAACGCTCTCTGCTATTTTGTTACCAAAATTTCGTAGAACAATGTATAACAATGGTACTGAATTCACATCAAATCTTGGAGATTTTAATAATATTTCCAGCGATTTCCAGTAACCATAAGAGCATGCATAACATATTGGCGACATACCAAATCCCCGATTATTACCGTGAAAACTTATATCATCTCTTAATTGAATCATTTTTTCTAGCGCCATTATCAAATCTTCACGGATAGCAACAATCAATAACGTTTCTATGCCCACGGCAGCAGTAAATAATTCTAGCAGTAATTTTGGATTTGTCTCAGCTTGCGCTAATCCTTCGAGAAATTCGTCTTCTTTTTTATTCTTCAGCGAAAAGAAGAGACGAATAAAATCCCACTGTTCATTGATCTGAGGATTATTTGGCAATCCAAAATATCGGATGATCGTTTCTTTATTGGCTACGTTCAATTTCCGATTATCAACAATATTCTTAATTGGAGTTAGTTCGAGTCCGTCAGGCAAATTGTTACTAGCACCATGTTGAAGCAGCAGTTTGATACACGGGAAGACTTTGAGAAAATTTTCGTCGGATATTTCTTCAGTAAGGTAATTTAAAGGCGTTTGTTCGTCCACGCTTTTTGCGTTCACATCGGATCTTTTAGCAAAACTGCCAAATTCTCTTCACAATGTGATTCGACCACGAAATTAATTGGTCGCTTATGGAGCTCGGGGTTTAACTGAAAAGGGAGCAACTTATTCTATTTGTTTATGATAGAAACTTTTGTTTTACACTTTATTTGAAATATTTGTTAATACATCAATGGGCAAACAAAAAGTTCACTCACATATAAGAATAAAAAACACAAACCTTATTAACATCACAACCGGCCGAAATACACTCTTGAATAATTCGGGCGCAGCTTGGCGTTTTGCATGCCAATTCAAATATATTACTCTTTTCAACGCCAGAGATTGTATGAGAACGTAGTACACTGCGAAATGAGTAGAAATCTACACATTCGATTGCGCTCACCAGACTCTGAGCAGGTTTTATTAACAAGAACGTTCTATCATCAGTAATTATAAAGTAAGTAAAATAATTGAGTATTTTTTAAGATTAACCTACAGTCACCATGGTGCGTAGTCACCATAAATGGTTCCATTTCAATCTTCACCATTTTTGAATTTTTATTTCTTACAACTGTAGAGAATTATAATTGGCTTATCTTCGATGTTCTATGGTAATATGTGTCAGTTTAACATTAACTTCATTTGATTTATTGTGGACTTTTGTGATGGAAAAATATAACTTTGAAATAACTTTTTTCAATTGGATACTGATTTTACTTTACACAACTTGACTTCAATTGTTCAAAAAGTGAACTGAACTTTTATTCTACAATATATTTAATATAGAGTGTGTGAAGTCGGATGATAAATAAAACTTTAATTTTAAATATAGAACATAATGTGCTATTATCGTACAACAAATATATAATATTTATGGTTTTATCATTCAAATGATTCATTTCCTGTTGATATATATTTAGGTGCAAAATAATTCATATCATTTTCTCTGCATCGCGTTATTTTTTTTTCAATAATTAGTTAAACTAACCACTATCTTATCGTGTTGTGATTAAATCTCCTGATTGACAGTATCACTATGAAATTCTAGATCCTTCGAAAAAAAAATTTAATTCACTCTGTCATTCATTTTTTTTGCAATCTTCTTCAATAAAGTTTCCATTTTGATAAATCGTTTAGTAATTTTTTGCGACAATTTTCTTTTTCTCTCCTTCGGCATCATTAATCGATCTGCAATTTTCTCTAATGTCGTTTCCATTTTCGTTATTCGTTTATTGAATTTTTCCCTTTCTTCTTCGTCGTGTTGTTCTTTTCTTTTCTTTTTCAAAACATCAAACGCCATTTTGACCACTTTCGAATCCATACGAATGCATCGATTACAGAATCTTAAATGAACCCACCACGATACTGATATCTCTTCATCAGGCATAATAAGAATCTTGTTCGAATCATTTGGCGTAACCCTGATGCGGTTAATCAACTTTGGCAATTTGAATGTGTCGATGCCTGCACAAAATGGAAATATTTTGAAGAATGTTGGATATCTGCAGAAAATTTGGAACAATTCGTCATTACTTAATTAAATAAAAATGAGTTTTGTTGTGAATCCAAATTTCAAAATAAGTCTTATTACCTCGTGGCCAACACTCCTTCATATCGAGCTAAAACTCGTGCACAACTTATAAAGCTTGTTAGTTCGGCTTGTGATTTGATTGCCTGCGTGTCACTCACGGCCAAGCCGTTTAGCAAATTAAAAAGGACAATTGTAACAGTGAATACAAATATTATGAAGACGATATAATTGAATGCGTTTGTTTTAAAATCGATGCTGTCTGCGTCGAATTCACCTGTGGACATCACCAACGTTTTCATGATTGATAGCCCGAGATTCGGGAATTTATTGAAATCTCCATCAGCTTTGTCATCATTCGTTTCTCCTTTCGTACTCTCTTCCAATGGCTCGGCTACATGATCGTGTAACAATGTGAAGAACGAAAGAGAAAATGCCAATGGAATGATGGCATACAGTAATAAACATTTCAAGAAACTCCAGATAACCGTTTTCAGTATGACATAATGGGTGCAAAAAGACCAAAATGGCAGTGACCCAGCCAAAAGAAATATTTCGGTTGCAATCAGTAAGATTGACGTAGCTGCGAAGGTACAACGCCATGTGTCTGGACACACATCAAACAAAATCAGCATGACCAGCACAACCAACGTGCATTCCAAGTAGTTTTTCAAACTCTTCATGTAGACGAATGGTGAAAATGTGAATTGATACATTTCTCGTGCTGCGATACAAAAGGTTAACAGGAAGATGATCACACGCATCACGGAATTTTGTTCATGGTAGTTGTAATACACCAAAATATATGTAACGGTGGTAACAGAAAATAATGCACACAAAAAGAAATTGATATAGAAGAACGGTGCTAAACGCTTCCATTTCAAGGACAGGAAGCTGGCTATCAGTGGATGCATCGTCAAATGTTTGAGCTCATTCGATTTTGAAATGTATTCAATCACACCCATTTCATCCGCATTATCATCCGTTTGTAATGTGTGAAATGGAACAAAGTTTTTGAAGTTGAATTCAATTTCAAATTTATCGTCACTCGATCGAAATCCATTGGTTGTGATGCAACTGTCGAAATGGCTCTCAAGTACATTGGCAGAAATATGCGAGATTGAAAATTCGTTAAATGCATTTCGCCCTCCAATATAGGCCCCTTTTTTCAATAGCTCAAGAATTGGTTTCGAATTATGGAACATAGCCGCATGATGAAGAACGTTTTGAGTGTATGCACCCTGTAGATTAACATCAATATTTGGATGATTCAATAATAATTCAAAGCACTTTTCGTAATCAACCTTCTCTGTTACTTTGCAGCCAAAATTTCCCAGAATAATCTGTAAAAGTGGTGCCGAATTCACACCCAATTTCGGAGATTTCAATAATGTTTCCAGCGATCTCCAGTGACCACGAATACATGCGCATATTGCTGGCGACAGCCAAGGCGACGTCCAATGGGACATCCAACGTGCCATTGAAGGCACAATCAAATACGAACTTGTTTGTTGATTTACATCTGCTCCTAGTTGAAGCATTCTTTCCAACGCCATTATCAAATCTTCACGGACAGCAACAATTAATAACGTTTCAATGCCCACAGAAGCAGTAAACAACTCTTGAAGTAAGTTTGGATTTGTCTCAGCTTGTGCTAATCCTTCGAGAAATTCATCCTCTTTCTTATTCTTCAATGAAAAGAACAGACGAATGAAATCCCATTCTTCATTGATTTGAATATTATTTGGTGGTCCAAAATATCTCACGATCACCTCTTTATTGGAAACATTCAAGTGATGATTCTTCAATATATTTGTCATGGGAGTTATTTCTCGTCTGTCTGGCACACTCAAATCAGCACCGTATTTAATTAGTAGTTTGATACACGAGAATACTTTTTCAAAGTTTTTATCAGATATTTCTTCTGTGAGGGAGTTTACTGGCGTTTGTTTGTACATATAGCTTTTTGCGTTCACATCAACACTTGGATCTCTTAGCAATGCTGCCAAATTTTCTTCAGTACTTGACTCAAGAACGAAGTTGATCGGTCGCTTATGCTGTGCGTTTAACTGAAAATAAGTTCATTTGGTAAAAACATGTAATTCACTGATTGAAGCCCTTTTATTCACGCATGCGAGAGGATATTCTAGTCACAAATATGGAAAACGTAAATACAAACCTCATTAACATCACAACCGGCTGAAATACACTCATCAATAAATTGGGCACGGCCTGGTGTTCGACACGCCAGCTCAAATATTTTTCTTTTTTCAGCTTCTGATACTGAATTTATTGCACTGCGGAATGAGTTTATGTCATCACGATCCAGTGCATTCACTAGACTCTGACGGATTCGAAGAAACATTTTATTCATAACAATTGAATATTATCAGAAATTACATGGTTAACTCACATTATAGTCACCAGTGCATACTAAGGAAACACTTTCCATTTTCGAAGATTTATCTTACAACTGAAGATAATTTCAATTGAATAAATTAAATCTATGTTTATATTTGATGAGAGGTCAACATCGAGTGGAAGCAAGTCACATAACTACTTCGCCAAAAATATCATTACCTTGTGCTTATTAAGCGCTGCTTATTCATTCACAAACTTTTTTTTATTTACATCAATGTATCCGAAACCCGTATTTAAGTATGTATCACCAAATGACCTTGACCACAATCAATGTAAACAAGACTTTTAATCAGAGAAAAATCTTTAGAAATTCAGCTGCCATCAACGAACAATACAATGCTTCTCCTTCTACTGTCAAAATTATACTGACAGATTATATTGGAATGTATCATTTCTAAAGCTCCCGTCGTTCGCGATCACAAGTATAACAATTTTCGCAACCGGTTCTTGTTCATCTATATATGAGCATGAAGAAGGGATAAAAAAAATCCATTGATATGTATAAATTCATTTAATAATATTTAAATATAAATTATCAAAATATTAAATAGCAATGTTATTAGCACTACATGAAATGTAGAGCTACTAATCTGCTTTTTTTTCTAAATACTTTTTGAGTGATGAAACAAATTATGGTGAATTTGAATTTTATGCTCATATTTTTTATTTAATTTAAAACAGGTGCACTAACGACAAATAAGTGCACAACATTTCAAAGCGTCAATCGAATTTTTATTATCAAATGTTTTTTAAAAATTACATTAATTTTTCGTACAGTATTTTCTGGGTCTTGAACAGAATTAAAGTGACTTTCGATAAATAGTTTGTTGTGAAACAACAAAATAGATTAAATAACTAAAAACTCAAGAACTGCGGTCTTGTTTTTATCTTTTCCACATTACTATAAAAAAAACCCTAGACAAAAAATTTAATTCACTCCATTTTTTTCAATACGTCATCCAATTTGTCCGCTATTTTCTCTAATATTATTTCCAGTTTGGTCATTCGTTCATTGATTTTTTTCTTTTCGGCCATGTCATGTCGTTCTTTTCTTTTCTTTTCTAGCACTTGGAGCGCCACTTTAATAACTTTAGAATCCATAAAAATGCGTAGATCACGAAACATAAGTCCAGGGGTATGAATTAGAATCCAATTGGGATAATTATTGTTGTTTGGTGTGACTGTGATGCGTTTAACCGTCTTCAGCACTTCAAATGCCACGAAGCGTTCAAAAAATGGAAACATCTTGAGGAATGCTGGGTAACTGCCAAAAAAAATTAAAGTGGTTCATTAAAGAATTTCCTTTAAAGTTCAAAATTCATTCTATAGAATAAATTTTCATACCAAGTAGTCAGTACTCT